GGGGGGGGGGGGGGGCCGGGGCCTGAGCGGGGGGGGGGTCTGGAAGTGGGCGGGGCGGAGCCGGGGCCTGAGCGGGGGCGGGGTCTGGAAGTGGGCGGGGCGGAGCCGGGGCCTGAGCGGGGCGGGGCCTGAGCGGGCGGTCCTGAGAGTGGCGTGGTAAGGATGTGGGCGGGGCGGAGCCGTCCTGAGCTGGTGGACGGGGCGGGGGCGGGGCCTGAGCGCGTGGACGGGGCGGCGCCCGGCCGGGGTGCAGGCGGGTCAGTCCGGCCTAGGAGGCCAGGTAGCCGGCGTCCACGAAGATGCCCGAGCCGCTGGTGGAGGCACTGCGGTCGCTGAGCAGGAAGAGGATGCTGTTGACCACGTCCTCCACCTCTGCGGGGCGGCGGGCGGTCAGGGCGGCTGGGCTCGGCTGGGCCACCCAGGCGCCGTCACCCGCTGTCCCCCTGACCTGCGAGCTTCCTCAGCGGGTGGCGCTCCTTCAGCTTCCAGGATAACTCGGGGTCGGAGAAGATTTTGCGGGTCATGGCCGTCTGCACCATCGAGGGGATCACGGAGTTCACCCGGATCTGGCCCCGGGGCCGGAGGTAGTGGCCTCAGCCCGTGGACCAGCCACTTCCCCACAGCCCCTAGTCCACCTAAGGACCTAGTGTACTTACTGTGTCCAGCCAGTCCCTGACCCCACTGCCCAGAGCCTTGTGTGGCCCCCGGGATCCCCACCACCACTCTCTCCCCTGACTCCTAACACTGCCCCCCAGCTCCCACCTCGTGCCCCCCCTGGCCCCCACTCCCATACTTACCTTGTGTGGCCCCAGCTCCATGGCCATGGCTTTGGTCAGCATGGTCATTGCACTCTTGGTGGAGACTGCGGGGGAGAGGCGGCAGTGCCAAGGACCCCTTAGGGATTGAGCGCAGGGGCTCCTGTGTGCACTGCGGGGGGAGCAGGCTGGGCAAAGGGACTCACTGTAGGTGACCAGGTTGGGAAAGGTGACATGGGCCGCTATACTGGAGACGTTGACAATGGAGCCGGGCACTCCACGGTCGATCATGCCCCGGACTACGATCTGGAAGCCATAGTGAGGAGCAGCTGACCCTCCCCCACCCCACCAGGCTGTCGGCTGGGCCACGCTGTCCCACTGGCTCACCTGGGACACCTGTATCACAGAACGCAGATTCACATTGAAGGACCTGGCAGGAGTGAGAGACATTGGCCACCTCTGACCCTGTCCTCAGCAGCCCCTCCTGGCGTGACCGCTCTTCCCACTTCCCACCTGTCGAAGGCCTCCTTGGTGACCTCCAGGAAGGGCTGCATCAGCACCACAGCGGCGTTGTTCACCAGCAGGTCCACGGGGCCAACACTGCCTAATGCCTGCTCCGTGGCCTCCCAGTCACCCAGGTCCACGCACACGGGCTCTACTCCGGGGCACTGTGGAAGACATTGGGCAGTGGTCTGGGGGTGGTCCCAGCAGGCTCTTGAAACATCCCTAGGGCCATGGTGGGCTGTGTGCCTCACCTCCTTGGAGAGGCTGACCAGGTCGGCATGGGTGCGGCTCACAGCCACGACTCTGGCTCCGGAGGCATGTAGGGCCTTCGCAGTGTCCCTCCCGATCCCTGCAAGCATGGGACTTGGTGGGTGGATGGCCCTGCACATCTGGTCAGGGGAGCAGGTGGGAGCAGGACCAAGCAGGAGGATGCTGGCCAGAGGGCAGTAGCCCAGGAGTAGGTGGGGGCCCCAGTCAGAGGCCAGGCTGACCAGGATCAGGCTCAAGGAGGCCACAGAGGGCAGCTCCTTCTCACTGGGCCTGAGGGAAGAGGACGTGACTCGACCCCCTATCTACCCAGCCTGGGTCCAGGGGCTGCTCTGGGGACAGGACAAGCTCATGCCTTTCAGGGGGGTCTTGTGTTGACCAGCGAGTAGCTGGTGTCCTGTCCCCAGTGAGGCTCCAGCCAGGTGGTGGGGAGCAGCTGAGGTCCAGGTCCCAGGGGCTGCGGGGGGTGGGAGAGCCATCGGTTGCAGTGGGCGAATTGTGACAGTCAAGTGGGGACTCGCATCACCCCCACCTGCCCTGTGCACACCCACCTTTTCCTGCCCCTGTCACCAGGGCCCGCAGGCCACTGAAGTTCAGCTGCATGATCCTGACCCCAGCCTCTCCTGCAGCCAGAGGAGGACTCGGACGTTTTATAGGCCTGGGCAGGCAGGTGGGGCGGGGACACCAGGAGGGGGCTGGGCATAACCCACTCCCCTCCAGGGGCGGCTCTCTCATCCCCTGCCTAAACGTGCCTGCCAGAAGCTCCATCCCAGATTTTGGAAAAGAAATAAAAATTAAATTGTATGTGTGTATGCGTGCTTAGACGCAGCAGCATGTTGGGGGTGGAGGTGAAACTTTGTTTTCTCTATTCTTGTCTGGACAGAAACACTACCCTGTAACACTGCTTCTACTGGAAGAGGAAGGCGGGCCTCCCTATCAGCTGGGGGTATTCCCACCCATCTGAGGGGCCAGGGCAGCTGAACCGCATGGGAATGGGGAGTGGGTCATCTGCGCCCACCACTGCCAGCTCTCTAGTAATGTTTCAGTGCCCTGTGTTGGGCTCTGCTGCCCTGGGGCGGGGGACAGGGGCACCCATGGAGCAAGTGGGCCTCCAGAGTCTTCCTTGCTTGGTCCTTCCCAGGTGCCCCTCCCCTGCCCCTAGCCAGCCTGGGACCCCACCCTTGGTGGTTGCCCTGAAGTGTGGCCCTTGCAAAACTAAGTGTGGGTGCAGGGGACTCTTCTTCCCCAGCAGGCCTCCCCAGCCCCTTCCTCCTTCCCCCAGATCTTTCCATCTCCGTGCAGATTAATGGATTTTTTTGCTGGGGGGGGCAGTTTGGCAAAACATGCATTCCTCTGCCCATGTGCCACTGATTCTGATACCAGTTCCACCGCTGGGAATGAGTCTCATGGTGTGTCCCAAGCACCGCCCAGCCTTATGTAACAGTGTCCCTGGGACAAAGTCCTCTGTCCAAGGCAGGTCATGTGATACTTCCACTAGGCAGGAGACATTGAGTCCCAGCCTCCCAGGTACAGTCCCCTGTGCCTGCAGCCTCTTCCTCCCTGAAGCTAAGCCCCTCACTCAGGCTTGGGGCTGGACCCCCAGATGTGACTCCAGGAAGAAGGCCGCCCAGTGGTCTAGGTGTTCCTGTTGGAAACCATCCTGCCTCTCTGAGATCACTCCTGGAGGCCACGTGGGCTTGTCCTGGTGAGGCCATGGGCATGGTACTATCCTTGACCTTGTAATATGCAGGAGATCCTGGTCGTGGGCGGAGACCAGGCAGTGCACTCAAGCTGGGTTTTTCCCCCTCCCAGAGACCAGAAATTTATTTTTGAAAAAGTGGGAGAAGAGAGGAGGAGTCTGTGGAAGTGGGAACCTGAAAATTAATTACGTGGTTAGAGCGCAGCCTTGTAACCCCAAGGTCACGGGGTTTGGATTCCTTTACTGGCCAATGGCAAAAGAAAAAAAAATCAGTTATGCGCAAGAGACATCCAGCACACACAGGGTTGGGGTGGGGATTTCTTCACAAAGTTCTGCAGGAGGGAGTCTTGCTCCCACCCCTGTCCTGGACCTGGGTCTGAGCCTGATGGCAGCTGATCTCTAAGGGCCTTGGGGGAGCAGGTCTGCCACCCTCAGCGGCCCTGACTTTAAGGGGCAGCCCCCAGCTCACCCCTGCCTGATTTCTTTACAGGGGTGCCTCAGGGAAGTGCTCTCCCAAACATCTGCAGTTCAGTACAATGGAAGCAGCAGCTCAAAAACATCTACCTCCACCAGTCCACACCCCCAAATAACAAACCCAGCACCCTGCCCTCTCTCCAAGACCGCCTTACACTCTAGACAAATTTGCTTTTTGTTGTTGTTGTTTGTTTGTTTGTTTGGCAGCTGGATCAAACCCTGGACCTTGGTATTGTCAGCCCCACATTCTAACCAACTGAGCTAACTGGCCAGCCCCAGACAAATTGTCAAATGCTAAAGATAATTTTTTTTTCTTTTTTTAAAAGATGACTGGTAAGGGGATCTCAACCCTTGACTTGGTGTTGTCAGCACCACGCTCAGCCAGTGAGCTAACCAGCCATCCCTATATGGGATCCGAACCCGTGGCCTTGGTGTTATCAGCACCGCACTCTCCTGAGTGAGCCACAGGCCGGCCCCGATAATTTTTATTTTGAAAAAATTCAAGGGCCGGCTCGGTGGCGCACTCGGTAGAGTGCAGCGCTTGAGAGTGCAGTGGCGCTCCCGCCAAGGGTTTGGATCCCATATAGAGACCAGTCCGCTCACTGGTTGAGCGCAGTGCGGGCGCGACACCGAGGGTTGCAATCCCGTTGCCGGTCGCGGTACGGGCGCGACACTGAGGGTTGCGATCCCGTTACCAGTCACGAAAAAAGACAAAAAAAGGAAAAAAAAAATTCAAAATTGAAAGTATAGTACAATGAACTTTTTTTTCCTGAGCCATTTGCGACTAATTTGCCAGACTAACACCCTATTGGCCGCCAAATAGCTTAGTGTCTAGCTCCTTCCAACAAGGACATTGTCCTGCACAGCCACAGTGTGACCTAATAACTGTCAGAGTCATGAAACCAACACTGAGGCGTCCCTGTCCCCGAGCCTCAGCCCCACTGGGTGGCGTTCTTTTTTTTTCCTTTTTGTCTTTTTTCGTGTCCGGCAACGGATCGCAACCCTCAGTGTCGCGCCCGTACCGGACTGGGACTGGCAACGGGATCGCAAACCTCGGTGCTGCGCCCGCACCTCGCTCAGCCAGCGAGCGGGAACCGGTCTGTATGTGGGATCCGAACCCTCGGCGAGAGCGCCGCCACACTCTGAAGCGGCGCACTATAGCAGTGCGCCACCGGGCCGGCCCTGGGTGGCGTTCTTTATAGCAAAAAGGTTCAGTGCAGGACCACGTGCTGCCTTTGGACGTCCCGTCTCTAGTCTCCCTCACTCTAGAACTCAGTGTTTCATGCCTCTTTTGACCTTGATACTTAAAAGTCACAGGCTGGCTCTTTGGTAGAAAGTCTGTTGATTTGGATTCGCCCGTTGATTCCTCGTGGTTAGAGTCTGGCCGTGTGTCTGTTTCAGAAGCATCGCAGGAGTGACACTGTGTTCTCCTGGCATCCCATCAACTGGTCACAGTTTCAATTTGTCCCACCACTGGTGACATTACCTTGATCCCTGGATGGATGGTAACAACACTGGGAGGTTAGCTTTGACCTTTGCGATCACTGCACCAGCTTTGACCTTTGCGATCACTGCACCAGCTTTGACCTTTGCGATCACTGCATCGATCTTCCAAGCGTAAAAGGAATAGGGCTGCTGAGGCTTCACTCTGTCCTCCAAATCTCTGCAAACGAGATTCGGGGATCTGAGCTCAGCCTTATTCAATGTGCGCTGATCCAGTGCAAACCCACCACAGTCCACCCCTCGTCAGGGTGACACCCAGAATGCACCTCTTTGTACTGTATATACTTAAAAATTTTTCTGTATGTTATGATGTTTTGACTTCCTAAAAAACCCTTTCTGGCTTCTGAGCCTAGTCAATTGTTAGAGACAGCAAAGGACTCAGCAGGGAACGTACCTTTGGCATGTAAATGAACAGTCCACAACCATCTGTCCTCAGCAGGGCTGCACGCCCAGGAGGCAACATTCCTCTGCCTCAGGCACCCCAAGGCCAGGTGCCAGGCAACTGGGATTGCTCCTGGAGCTCAGAGCCCGGTAGCCGGTCCTGCACTGTTCACCCTGCCCTCTCTCCTGACCCAAGCCTGCTGTGCCCTGCGGCCCTGCCTGGCTGTGTACCTCTCATTTCTAGTGGAATTGAGGTAACATTAAAGTTTGCTTTCTGTGGCCCTGGCCTCTCTGTGTCATCACCCAGTCATACTCTATAAACTAAACCCCAGGAATAATTTTAGAATGCTCTTTTAGACTTAATTAACTTAACTTTCAAGTAAAGACAATAGCAAAATCTCCCTAACATAGTTCAGCCAATAGCACACAACCAAACACATGCCACTCCGTCCCCAGCATCTCTGGGTGATGTTCACTCCTCCCCCCCCCGAGTCACACACTCCTGTGATGTCCTGTGACCTGAACACCGAGCTGTGGGTTAGCCACTAGTAGCACTTCTTACAGTACTTGGTGGGGGATGGGAGAAAGAACAGAAGAAACGGTTAATATGCACACAAACATATCTGTGTAAAAATAAGAATGAGATGTTGGTTCTCTCTTCTGCAGCTGATCCCATGGTCACGCTGTCTCAGCTGACATTTGTCTCCTTCTGCCGTGTCATGTCGTGCTTGCAGCAGGTGCCTCAGCCGGCCAAGGCTCCGTGCCTGATGCAGCAACCAAAGCCTGCTGTGGTCCTGCTGATCGTGGGTGGTGGAAACTGTGGCTTCTGTACCAGCAGACCCCAAAGTTGCAGGAGTGGGAGGCCCGCATTTTGCTACTGGATCATGAGGGGCAATAACGACAGGAGCCACCCCCACTTCTGCCCCTCGATTCCAGGAGCCCCGAATCCCGCTGTGGGAGAGAAAGCACCGTGTGCTGAACGCCGGCTTGCAGCATACACATCACCCTGCGGGACATTGTGAACATGGTAAGCCCGTGAATCCCATGAGCAAGAGCCCGTTCCTGCCCCTTCCCCTGCTGTGACATGAGTTCTGGCCAGAAGGGGTGCTCTGTGGGGTACCACGGCAGTGATTAAGGCATTCCTGCAGCCCAGGAGTGGTGGTGCAGGCAGAGGCTTTGTGGGCAGGAAGTCAAATCTGTATCCACAGTGCATCCGTTCAGTGAGGTCAAAGCACTGCCCCTCCGTCATGAAAGTGGTCCAGGCAACTGGCCTGCCACCAGGCAGCCGACGGGTGCCCCCGGGGAATGGTGGCATATCTGCTGCTGGCAGGTTGGGTGCTCAGCAGTGGCTGTCGTGGGAAGGGCACTGGGCATCCATGCCCTTGAGCCCATCTCTATAGTCATGGCCATGAGCCCGTTGGGCCAGGACGTGGTTGCGGGGGCAAGAGGAAAGCTGATGTCCACAGCATGGGCCACCTTGTCCATCTGACCTAGGATCATCTTCTGCCGAGGTGACCTTTTGGTGAGCATTTCCATGGGATGCAGGTATTGTCACACTCTGTGCCCATATGGAGAGGTCTGTCTGCATATCTCTTCCACAGACGTCCTTGTCACCTCCTATGGTCTGAAGGTTCGAGTCCCCCAAATTCAAGTGCTGAAATCCTCACCCCCAATGGGATGGTGTTAGGAGGTGGGGCCTTTGAGAGGTGATGAGGTCTTGAGGGGGGGCCCTGACG